TTGTGCAATTCAAGAGAAGCCACTGTTCGGAAAATTATTTCCGATGAAACGGGAAAGACCCGGCCAGAAAGACAAACCGGAGAAAAAGGGAATTCCAAAAAACCGGAATTTAAAAAATTCAAAAGAAGACGAGTCTGATTAAGATTTATCAGACAGGGAGGCCCACGAGCAATTTAATGGCAGGACAAGAGAAAAAGAAAGATTCCTCCACCAAAGGAAAAGACAAGTTTTTCCGAGTCAGCTCCACATACACCATGTGACCGACAGAGGAAAGTGGGTTCAATAATTCTCCAAACCGGACCCATCAACATGTGAAGACCACAAGGCATTTACCTACCGGTTGGTACAAGCAATAATAGAGGACTCCAAGACCTCTATAAATACAAGATTTGGAGGAAACAGAAGACATCGAACATCCTCTTCAGTTTTCTCATCAAAATAAAATTCTCTGTAATAATAGTGTGTGGGCTTGTGTGTCTTTTAATTTTCTTTGTAATTTTTATGTGTGTACGAGTGTTTGCCTCTATTATGAGAGGCTAAAAGGTTTTCTCCTCCCTTAAGGAGATTACTTATGTAATAAAATCACTTTGAGTTCTTAATAAAAAAGAGGCTTTTGCTTCACAACATGTTGTCGTAATTTTCATCTATCTCCATAATTAAGTATCTGTACGCCTGGAGTAGGAAACGAACCAAGGCTGTGCTGAGTGGTATCTGAAGGAGTCGGATAACTTGTAGTTCATCTTCCCATTGGTGAAGTTAGACGGTGAGGAGCCGTCCGTGAAAGGAACTAGGGGCACTAATTTTCTGACTGGTGGAATTGCAACCCATCTCACTCGGAACCATTTTGGTCAAAAAAGGTACGAAAATTATGGAGTTATTTAATTTTACGGAAGCATGTTGGGCCTGGTATTGTTCATTTTATTGTGGGAACTCTTTAAGTGGAAAATTCAGGCACAAAAGCTTGGTACTACGTATTAATAAAGTGGGTACTATTCTCTTATTAAAGTGGTATGATTTCAAAATAAACTGGTACTAATTTTCTGGACTTGAATAAAGATAAGGGTATTGTGGGAATACTAAGAGGGTTATTATTTTATTGCAAGTGGGAGGGAGTAAAGTGGAAGAAAATTAGAGGAAGGGACTGAACTGGAAGTTGAAAAGGGGTCTAGGTACTTTTATAGAATTTGCCCGAATAGCTTCCGTTGGAATAGTTCCAACAGAAATTCCAACGGAAATATTCCGTTAGAATGTGTTTTCCATTGGAATTTTAGATGGAATTTGATGATTCCAACGGCTATAATTCCAACGGCTTTGTACCGTAGGAATTTCCGTTAGAATATGCAAATTCCGTTGGAATTTTTTTTCCACCCCCGTTGGAAAATCCACCGTTGGAATCATCAAAATCCAACGGAAATTCCAATGGAAAACCCATTCCAACGGAATATTTTCGTTGGAATTTCCGTTGGAATCCATTGAAAAATTCCAACGGAAATAATAGTATTGAAATATCTGTTGGAATTGCCGTTGGAATAATTCTTTTGAAATATATTTCCGTTGGAATTTCATCATTTTCTTGTAGTGATTTCTCGAATTAATGTTAGTCATTTGATGTGCTTATAATTAGATCAAAACCTATGAAAAAGATCGTGATGAGAAATATGAAAACGGCCGTATGGGCTATTTGTGACTTCGCCATATCTTGGAAGATCAAATTGAAATTTCGTATAAATAATAGTACTAGGATGTAATTTTTTATTTTTATTTTTATTTTATTTTATTTTTATTTTTATTTTTTTTTTTTTTTTTNTTTTTTTTTTTTTTTTGCACAAGGATATGTTTTATAATGTTTAAAGTTCAAGAAATTGGTTTCTCCTCAATATTATATACATTGGTGAAAAATTAGACATTGTGCACTTTTATTTTGTATGGACTTTTGTGATAAATTTGTATTTATATATGTTTGCAGCCAAAAAGAGAGGGATGGAGGAGACTTCCTCGGAGATTAGCTCTATAGTTTAGGACATTACTTTGTTATTATCCATTTTATGTAAGAGATTGATTTGTCATTGCCATGAATTTGTATGATTATAATAGTTATTAAATGAAACGATCTGCTTGTGAGCTTGGGTCGGCTCGTCTTATTAAAGCTCGAAATAGAATTCTTTATAATTGAGCTTGTTAAGGCTGGAGTTCGACTCGTCAATATTGATAAATAATGTTAACATTGTGAGAAATACATGTTAGTTATGAGAAAATAAAAAAAGTTTTATCGAGTCTCGAAAGATGAATCAACTACCAATTTATATATAATTAGTACATTGACTAGTCACAATATGCATGTAATGGATTCATATCCATAGAAAGACAAGCTCACATACACAAACCAGATGATCATTTTCCCTTTTGCTTACAATTTTTTTTGGTGATCTTGAAATTTAAATGTTTGATGAATATATATATATATATATATATCGCCGGTAAAAATCAATCCAATGATTTTTACATGATATTCGGAAGTTTTGTGCAGTCTGTATTTAGAGGAAATTCATGTTCGGTGTCGATTTCTTGAAATGTAGTGCAGTCCCGATCGTTGTACCAATCACCAACAGCTTCTGCAATTGTCTGCAAATCAATAGCAATTCACATTTTGAGTAAGCAATTAATTAATGAAACTACAAGATATTGAACACATTACATAAATTTTCTAGCAAAGGAAGAAGTAAACATAACATAAATTAACAAAATACATAAATCACATTATATATAATCTCAAAAGCTCTCCCTAATGTGTGTAAATGAATATATATATCACCATTTATATATGTAATAAGGTCATAATGCAAGAAATATTTTGTAATGTTCTATATAAGATTAAAAAAAAGAAGAATTAAGTAAAATGTATGCACATATATAGGCTATATTGCATTTTTAGTCATGCTGTTTTAACACTATAACAATTTTAGTCCCAAGATTCTAATAATTTGCCTTTCATGTGATTTAATATTTTGCTGCAAATTTGCAAAAAAAATCCCTAATTTTCATCTTTGGGATGATTTTTTTTTTTTTAGCAATTTAAGTATTGGAATTTAAAATTTTGTTGCAATTTAAGTAATGTAGTTAAGATATTGTTGCAATTTGAAAGACTGAAAATGCAGTAAAATATGAAATCACATGACAAAAAAGCAAAAAATTAGAACATTGAGACTAAAATTGCCATATATGTCGTTAAACCAACAGCACTAAAAACGCATATTTGCCCACATGCATATATATATATATATATATATATATATGTATATGAGTATCGATCTTACTTTATTTTTCAACTTATACGATGCACCCCATCTAAGATTCGAACTGAAGTGGCCATGGCGCAAACACGGGTGAACGAACATTCCTATTGATGAAGTGTCTCGGATTTCTTGCAACAATTCGACAACGGCCGAACCATAATCTGAAATAAATTATGCAGACAAAATTATGCACAAGGAAGAAAGAAAGAAAATGAATGAAAAAAAAAAAGAAGAAGAAGAAGAAGTACCTCTCATCATTTGGAAATGAGAAGGTGTGCAAAGAGTGAAATTTTCCGAGCATGCTTTAATAATAGTGTTTTTGTCATCTGATAGGTAAAGATTTCCTATCTGCAATAAATAAATAAATAAATAAATAAATAGTTATATGTATGACTTAGAAAATGAAATTATTTTATTTTATTTTATTTTGTTTGAAATGTGAAATATTATGCAAACATAAAATATATACCTGATAAGTATCGAATTTGGTTTCCAACAAAAAGAGTGGTGTCTTAACATCTCTTACAATATATTCAGGGAAAACGCACTGTATTTTCAGGAAACAAAAAGTATATGTCAGTGAATGACCGGTTACCTGTCGTTTCGAAAAAAAAAAAGAATGACCGGTCACCTAAGGATAGAGTGATAGGTCTGACCGGTGGTTAAATCAGTTGGATTGTTATTTAATTAGTGATTTTTTAAGATATTATATTGAGTTTTAAATACTAATAACTTTATTATAGAAAAAGCATCATTAGTTATATATTTGGGCACTTTAAAACATTTGAATGCCTAAACTAGCTAATATAATAATTTATACATATCTAAAATATTTAGATATGTATTTTTTTATATATTTAAATTGTTTTCGTTAAAGAAAAAAAAAAAGAAAAACAATTGAACCAGTACGACTGACCGGTTTTGATTAAGTCGACTAGTCAAAGACTCGATTTTTTTTTGGCAAACGGTGTTTTTCGGTGAAGATCAAAATCGATCGCTCAAGTGATCGAGTCTCGATCATACTCGCTGATACAGTCCGGTTTTCAAAACTATGCTTCTGAGTCGCTTATTATAATCCTATTTTGTTTATTAACTTACCAAACTTGCATTCCTTTTTGAAGTGCATGATGGAGGCAATTTATCAGTAAATCCCTGTACAAAATAAATAAATAAATAAACATATAAATCTCAAACTTCCTCGTAACAATTTACCTTATTTAAAATAAAATATTAATTCCATGTGGAATTATTTCATTTTCGTAGAGCTTCATGTTAATTTTCTAACAAAATAAAATTTTAATCTGGACTAATACTTTTTATATATTTTGTGTCACGGCAGAATATGTTTATATTAAAAAAACATAGTACAAAACAAGCATAAATGGAATAATGTAAAAATAAAATATTATTTTGAAGCAAAAAAGTGCAAATTAATAACGTACATGATATTGAGCAATTGTGGCAAACATGTTGGCTCTCTTTTCAGCTCCACGGAGTTTTGGTCTGTTAATTATTAGCAAATTAATTGCAAGCACAAAAAAATTAAATTATTATTATTATTATTATTATTATTATTATTAATAATAATAATTTCAACATATATTATTTTTTTCCATCGTCAAATAAAATTGAATTATAAGTAAAAGTAGTACGCGTGGATAAAGAAACCGGAATCAACGACGCATTTTACTGTAGTGCTGCTCGGAAAAAGTTCCCGAAAGCCATCACAGTGCAAGAGGGCCGCCAATCCACCGGCCGAGCCACCGGAAAATAGAACCTATATATGATAAATATATATATAGGAAATAACAATCCTAATTATGATAAATATCTCAAAATAATTATATAGTTTCATATATATATATATATATATGAAAATTTGAGATTTTTGTCCGTAACTGACTCCTTATTTCCTTATTGAGAAATAGTCTGGTGATCGCGTTGACTTTACAAAATACCCTGTAACTGCAAAAAAACCTGACTTTTGGTCATTTCACCGGCAAAAGCCGGTCCATGTGACAAGTTTGTTGACATAGATATTGTTTTTTTTTTTGGTACACGTGACAATCGACTAATATATCAAACTCAAAAGCTGGTCAAATTGACCGGCTTTTGCCACTAAAAGTCAGTTTTTTCGCAGTTTACATGGTGTTTTTGTAAAATCAATGCAATTACCAGACTATTTCTCAATTTGGTGCTAAATCTCCAACTTTTTCTATATATGTGCAATATTTAAAATATATAGTCATATTATGGCTTACATTGGTTGCATTGGCCATTCCCTTTTGTAGCAATTCTTCCATTACAACATCAAAAATCAGGGCACCCCTACCTAAGATGCTCTGCAAGAGAAATTAAAAAAAAAATAGAATTAAATTATTAATTTTTATAAATACGTTGATAGTATGAAATTAAAAAAATCCAGCAAATTAACGGTAGAAAAATAGATGTATGTGTGATTATAAGACTTACGCGATTGTCTTTACCGTTCTGATCAACGGCTCCCGGGGTCGAACTGTTGTGATCAACGGTTCCCATGAACGATGAACTATCACAATATACTACCATAACTCTGTTCCAATTGTAGAAATCTGAGAATGTCCAAACACAAATAATTAAAATCATTGATTAGTAAAATTATATATTTATTTAAGGAGAATAGTATGAAAGATCAACTGTGTGTCGTTTTTCAAATATGAAAACTCAACTACTCTGATTATTTTGACTATTAGTTGGTGAATTTTGATATGTTTTTTTTACAACTATTTATAGTATAATTTCAAAGCTGAAATTGCAAATTTGGTCCTATTAGATTATGGAGGTAGCAATTTAGGTCTAATTGGAGTGACATATAATGTTTTAAGTCTTGTAATTTAAACTTTTGTTGCAATTTCGGTGTTTGGTCGTCAAAATTCTTGATTTACAAGGAATGGATTTGATTAGCAAATTACGTCTCGTAATTTAAAATTTTGTTGCACGTCAAAATGACCTATTTTGACAGTTAAAATGACTAAAAATTGCAGAAAAAATTAAAATACAAGGCTTAAATTGTTATATATATTACTCCAGTCAGGGACTTAAATCGCTACTTTCCTAACCTAACAAGACAAAAATTGCAATTTAGCCTAATTTCAATGCATCGTTGAAACTTTTTTCTCATATTTTCGCATGGCATTGATGCCCCAACCAAAGAAACAATCCTCGATCGACATATAACACACATATTTGAACTCGAGACGTGTAGTGCGAATTCGTTTGCATAATTTTTCTGTGTTACGTAACAATTACCTGGATTTTCCGTTGCGTTTCTGCTATGTATTTGTCCAAAAGTCGTTATTTTTTCATTATGTGCACTGCTGCCCATAAATCGATCGAGTCTTGTTCTACACAAACTATCTGAGCCACACCAACCTCCACCCTGCAATCAAAACCTCAAATTACACAATTACAAAAAGAAAAATATCATAAAAAATAAATAAAAAGAACTATATATACTACAAGAATAATCATTTTTAGTGACGGTAATTTTTGTCGCTATGTCGTCTGAAAATATACCGTCGCTAATAATGTCCTAATATTGTTGCTATATGTTCGAATTTCGTCACAATAATACCTCTTATTGTGACGGTATTTTTTGTGACGACATAGCGACAAAAATTATCGTCACTAAAAATTATTATTCTTGTATGGTCTTTGAAGTATTATTTGATATGTTTGTGTTAGCTCACTTTCATAAAAACAACCCAACTGTTGGCTCCATCCCCAAATCCTGGATCATAATAGTAAGCTGCTGGACTTCCATCATTACAAACTACAAAACACAATATGAAAAAACAAATATATTTTTACTTAATGAACATAAATATATTAATTAATTAGTGTAATATCGAAATTAATTGTAATTTCGCTAATTCGCAACTTGCACTATACGTGTTTTTTCTCGGTAAAATGCAATCTGAACTTAAAAAACATTCATAATTTGCAACATCTCCTTCATCTTGACCATGTATACACGTACGTGTTCAATTTTTTCGGATAATTAATTGTATGATGAAGGTGTACGAGAGTTTGCAATGTTCATGACGTTCATGTTGCATTTTATCAAAAAAAATAAAAATAAAAAATTACACATTACAAATTAGTCAAAAATATAAATAAATAAAAATAGGATTTTTTTTCAATACAAGGCCTGAAAGATAGGTAAACTATCAATTCGGGGTCTGAAAGATTTTTTTTCTCAATTCAGGACCTGAATGTTATAAAACTATCAAATTAAGTCCTACAATTATAACATTCAGGTCCCGAATTGTAGGACTTAATTTGATAGTTTTATAACATTCAGGTCCCAAATTGAAAAAAAAAATCTTTCAGGTCCCGAATTGATAGTTTACCTATCTTTCGGGCCTTGTATTGAAAAAACCCCATAAATATATATGTAAATAATACCTGCTCCCCTTGCCTCTGCATTTGCCACATTGGTGATGCTAATTCCATTGGGATTTTGGGCATAGACTAATTGATGATTAATACTCATCACAACAATTAAGGAAATAATCACTGGCTTAATCAAGTGATTAGCCATGGTTCGAATGTATATTTCCATTCTAAAACATTGACAATAGTAAAAAAAAAAAAAAAAAAAAATTAGTATGAAATTAAGAAACATTCACACCCTCTAGTTTCTAGAGTCCAGTAGTTAATAAAGGGATGACGAATTGGACTATAATTTTAAATATTAACCAAATTGACGACAATTTTGGCTCCGAAAATTTGAATTTTGATCGAAAATTTTATGGGAAATTCGTAGATAGCATGTTGGTTTTTAAATAGAATTCCTAAAAATTGATTCCGACTAGAAATTAACATGCCATCGTCTCAAATTTTCATCATCTACATTGTTCTCGAATTGGTCGAATTTTAGAAAATACAGAAATAATCGATCGAACTTCAATTGAATTACTCGTAGTATAACCCTAGAGCTACGTTTTCAAAAAAATCCCGATAAATCGCATCATAAACACATTACGCATGCGTCATGCCGCGTAACTATAAATCAAACATCGAAATTTGAAAGAAAACTTTTAAGCAATATCAACAATTAATGTGTATGTAATTGCATTATCATAATGCTTTTGTTGATGAAGATTAAAGTACCTTAAAGAACCACGCTTGATCACTTTTCAAAAGGGTTTGTTATATATATATGTTTGTGTGTTAATATGCTTGTGTTTTTTGGTTTTTTATTTTTTTGTTGCTTATATAGTGCATATTCAATTAACTGAAACTTGTTGGCCTTTTCCTAAAATGGGTTCTTTTTATGTGATGAAGCATATTTTTTGCTTATGGTGTGTATCTCCATCGTTCGTCCTCTACATGTATAATGTGGGATAATTTCATAATTGGTTCTATAATTTGGCCACAGTCTAAAAAATCACTCCGATATTGACCACTTTCAAAATTGGTCATATAATTTCAAAATTTAATCAAATTTGGTCGTTTTTTAATCACATTTTAATCCATGTTCTGAATAAAAAGGACCAAATTTGATTAAATTTTGAAATGGATTTCAGCAATGAATTTTATTCAATTCATGTATGCATGTTTGCCAACTTTTCAATTTTGAACACACATTATACTGTCATTTCAATTTTCGAATCAATGGTTTCTCTGAAGGACTTACTATTTACATTATACATATTCAGGTCCCATTCCGGAGATCAACTCCACAACTTTGGTTACTCCCAACCTCTCATCAAACTCAATCTCCGGTTCCTTGCCGCCATCATTAGGATATTGTCTGTTTATTGATCTTAGCAGAAATCTTCTATCCGACGACATGTCTGTTATGAAAAATTGGAACCACAATCTGGAAGCTTTAGACTTGAGCTCCAATGGCTTGAGGGGAAGCCTTCCCAGCTTGACTCATTTCGAAAAAATGACTTTGTTCAGTATTCGTAACAATTCTTTAGAGGGGCCGTTGCCTTTAACATTGGGGCACAAACTCGTCACTGTTGATCTGAGCTCTAACAGATTTGATGGCCCAATCCCACATAGCTTCTTAACTTCGGTCACCATCACAAATCTGAACTTGTCCGACAATCATTTGACTGGGCCAATTCCTATCCAGGACTCTCATACGACTAAGCTATTGCTTATTCCTACTATTCTACCTATGAAGTCTCTCGACCTTTCGAATAATGCCTTAAATGGCGAATTACCATCCAATATCGGTAACTGGGGGAGGCTTAAGTTGCTTAATCTTTCAAGTAATAATTTGTCTGGACAGATCCCAACCGAATTAAGTTGCTTAAGTTGCTCATGTCGGTTAGTTCACTCGGCACAAGGTCGTGTTCAGCAATGAGGGCACCATGTTGTGCCTTCTTCAGACCAGCCTTTTTAGGCTTCCTGCAGTCCTTAGCCATATGGTTCGGCTTTCCACAGTTGTGGCAATTACCGGTAAATTTCCACACTTTGGCAGACTGCTGCTTCCCTTTGTTAAGGGACTTCCTTTTGCTCGAGTTCCCTTGCTCCAGCAAGTTTGCACGAGCTTCTATCATAGGGGCCTTCCCCGAAGACTTCCGATTGTCCTCTTCAATGCGAAGACGAACAACCAGGTCTTCAAGACTCATCTCCTTCCTCTTGTGCTTGAGGTAGTTCTTGAAGTCTTTCCAACCCGGCGGCAGTTTCTCGATCACAGCCGCAACTTGGAATGCTTTGAAAAGGGTACTGAAGTACTTAAAGTACACCCTTGAATACGGGCTAAAATACTCGAGATATCCAGCAGTACTTGAAGGGTACTGTGATGCAAGCTGGATATCAGATTCGAGAGATTCTCACTCCACAAGTGGATATGTCTTCTGTATCGGAGGAGGAGCTGTTTCGTGGAAGTCCACAAAACAAACTTGTATAGCTCGGTCAACCATGGAGTTGGAGTTCATCGCTTTAGATAAAGCTAGTGAAGAAGCCGAGTGGCTTCGAAACTTCTTATCCGATATTCCATGTTGGAATAAACCTTTGCCGCCTGTGATGATTCACTGTGATAGCCAAGCCGCTATAGGAAGGGCGCAAAGTAACATGTACAACGGTAAGTCTAAACATATTCGTCGTAGACATAATACCGTTCGCCAATTGATCACAAATTGTATTATTTCCATTGACTACGTAAAGTCTAAGGAAAATTTGGCTGATCCTTTTACTAAAGGATTGAATAGAGATCATTGGGAATACTGCTAGATGGAATGGGATTAAAAATCCACAATGAAAAGAATGATCATAGTGGTAACCCTACCTTGCTGAATGGAGATCCCATAAACTTGGTTCAAGGGGAAAACTAAACTATGAAAATTCAGCTAAGCACTTGGAACATTAGAATGTCCAAATCTATTCCCTAAAGCAATCCAAGTGCAAGATTACATGTTAATTGTGGTGAGGGTAAGTCGTATGGACTTTTAATGAATCCCTAACCTTTTAAAGGTGGAGTAATACATGATACTCTTGACAGAGAGGTCACCTATATAAGTGTGAAGTGAGGGCCACTTCAATT